GGGGGGACCTGGACTAAGACAGAAATGGAAAGATGCTTCATAATTTTGGTATTTTGGAATGAATGTAAATGTATACTTTATACACATTGATTTTAAATTCAATGAAAGAAAGAGTAAAACCAAAGGAGACTCAGGTTTTTACTCTGAGCAGAAGGTGACTTCGTTAACTAGAATGCAAATGGCTATCACCATGTACTATCTCCTTGTTCTTCCTTTTCAAAGTTTTCCTGGTTTTAGTTTCTATATTCTCATATTAATTTTAGTATTAAATTATATGCTTCCTAAAAAATTTTATTAGAGTCGTATTATTGTATTTGTAATAAACATATGGAGAGTTCTCATCAATATGATATTGAATCTTTCTAAGAATGTGGTTTGTCTTTCTAGTTCATCAGTCTTATTTATGTCTTTTGGTGGCATTTTAGAGAATTTCTTATATGACATAGATTCTTCACATTTCTTGTTATGCTTACTTATATTTTTTTCTGAGGGTGGGGTATCAAGGGTTAAACTCTGGGGCACTCAACCACTAAGCCACATCTGAACCCCTATTTTGTATTTTATTTAGAGACAAGTTCTCACTGAGTTGCTTAGCACCTTGCCATTGCTAAGGCTGGCTTTAATTTCTAGCCTCCTGTCTCAGCCTCCTAGGTCACTGGGATTTATAGTTGTGTGCCACCACAGCCAGCCATATTTTATCTTTTAACCATATTTTATCTTTTTTATAGCTATGAGAATAGATTTATTTTAATATGTGTTCTTTACATGTTGTTACATGTGAAATCTATGTGCTTTTGCGTATTCATTTTTTCCTTGGAAAAGTATTGAATTCTCTTTAATGTTTTAATAATATTTCCATTTTTAGCTTTAACAAATACATTTTAACTTTTATGTTTATTAATCTTAAGGATTTATTTTTATCTATATAACTTAAGATAAATGATTGATTAATTTATTTTCTGATTTATGTCTTATTGATATAATAACTTAGGTCTATGAATTTTCCTATTTCTTCCTAGAAACATTTACAACATTATTTTGTAAAGAATTTTTTTTGATACAAGAATTGTTTGAAATAGGACTTTTTAAACTTCCAATAGAAGGATCTTTGTATTCCTGATTTTGTCAATAGTTACAACTTTATTGTCATAATTAAATAAATTATTTATAGTTTATATAACTATCTTCTTTTTGATATTAATAAATATTTCTTTTGTACCAAAAGCCATACCATTTTAAAAAATATATTGTTTGGTGAGGGTACATAAAATTGTACTATCTATTTTCAGACTTTAATATAATCATATAGATTTTATTAATTATGTTATTTACATTTTCTACATTCTTATCTGCCCTGAATTATGAAGGCTGAATTAAATTCAGCAAATACAATGTATTATATTTTTATCATCTCTAATTTTGACTTATGAATTCTACATATCTTTCTTTTGTTAATTACATATTTATTAGTGCTGTATTTTCTTTTGAATCTCCCATATGCTTTTTAATGTGTACCTCTTTGTCCTACTTAATATTGAATTTTTTCTTGCATGAAAGAGCATCATTCTTTTTGTGCATGTCATTTTACCTGCTATATTTGAACATATTTTGTTCTCAACATTTCTGAATGCTGAGTAACTTTAAATGTGTCATATATAATATGATTTGTATTGTATACCATATTTTTTGTGAGTCAATTTGCAAATATTGTTCTTTTAAATAGATGAGTTAGAGAAATTTATATTTATTGCTATGACAAATATATGTGGCCATAATCATCACATTATTTTCTGCTTGTGGTTTTTATTTTTTACATTAATTTCTTTTCTATGTTTTTTTCTAATATTTAGGAAGGTTTTGGTTATCTCAATAATTATAACACTATACAGTGCACCATACAGTACTCTGTTTCTTTATATGGTATCTACTGATACTCATAAAATAAGTGATAATCTGATTCCATTTCTTTTTATGTGTTAACTGATGTTTGCCAATAAAAATTAACTTTCAAAGTATTTATACTTTTAAATATTTTAAAACTATTATTGATTAGCTTTTTGAATATTTGTTGATTCCCATTATAGCATATTAAGCAATAACTTAAATTTCTTATCTTTTTCCTTCCAATTTTAATTCTGTTAATTGCATTATTCCTGCATAGTCAAAGCAAGTGTCATTTACATTCACCTGTGTCTTAGTCTACCTTGTCAGGCATAATAGAATACCACAGATTGGCTAATTTATAAAGAACAGAACTTTATTCCCTCACAGTTCAGGAGATGAGAAGTCCAGGATGAAGGTACTGGCATTTGGTGAGGGTCTTCTTGCTGTACCATGCCATTGCAGAAGGCAAAAGGGCAAGGAAGGGTCCAAGTGAGACAAAAGGGGGATGAACTCATCCTTTTGTAGTGAACCCACTTCCGCCAAAGGACATTAATCCATTCATATGGGCAGAGCCCTTATGACCTGCACACCTCTTGAAGGTGCCGCCTCTTAATGTTGCTACAATGGCAATTAAATTTCAACATGAGTTTGGTAGGAGGTAAACATTCAAACCAGAGTAGTTTGTCACTTTAGTTCTCACATAGTTTTAAACCTTAATTATATAATGAAATATATTTAGAACTCTATGATAGTCTTTTGGCCAGTTTCCTCAAACTCATCTTAATTAATTTGAAGTACATATTTTAGCATGTTCCTGAGGAAAGATTTTGGTAAGCAGTATTCCCCGATTCTTTCATTTTCAGAATTGTTTCTTATTTTTTAATCTGAGAGCCAGATTTGACTAGGTCTAATTCTTGGCTTCCAATGACTTCATGTGAATTTCTGTGGATATTGACCTATAATTTTTTGAAATTGAATGTTAAAATTGGAAATTTGGCCTGCTTACTCATAGGATTCTTTTTCTTCTCCTCCTCTTCTTTCTCCTCCTCTTCCTCCTCCTCCTCTTCTTCTTCTCTCCTTATCTTCCTCCTTTTCCTCCTCCCACCCTCCTCCTCCTTTTAAAATCTTTACAATCCAGGATCTTTACTATGTTGGTGTTTACAATTATAAGTCAATTTTGATTGATTCAAGTCTTTTTTTCCTCACCTTTTATTATCTTCAGTTCTAATTTTAAACATTTTGATATAGAGTTTGTTTATAATGTTCAAGTTTTCCATGACAGCATTTTTTTGTTGAGTTTATTGATAAACTGGTAAATTCCTTACAAGTTTTTTTCTTTTTGTTTTCTTTCTTGATTCTGCCATTTTCTTAAATGTATGCTTTTATTTATTTTAAAATTTGCATATGGTAAAATTCGATTCTTTTGGTATGCTGGTCTATTAATTTGTACAAGTGCCTATAATTATCTGCCAGATGACTATAATAGTTCCTACTTGAATCAGAATTGTTTCATCACTTTTCAAAATTCTGGGCTTTCCCTTATGTAGAGACTTCTATTGATGTTTCATCCAGTCCTTTTTTATTATTCATAATTGAATGAGTTAAGATTTTTGTGGACCTGCTGTTTGCAGAATATTTCCACCATAGGTTGGGGAGGCAGCCTGTGGCTTCTCTGCTTTCATGAAACTCCCTATTGTAATGGCTCCTCTATGTCACCTTTGTGATATAACACATTTTGCACTATACCTGATCCAAGAGGGCTCTTCTGATTTGATTTTTATTTTCTCTGCTATAATTAAGAAAGATGGGCTTTTTCCCCCCAGTTTGGATGTAAACCCTTCACTTCAATCAAGTATATTTTGATAGTCATTTTCAAAGATCTGTTGTCGCTCAGAACCCTGCATGTTTTTTTGTTTGTTTGTTTGTTTGTTTTTGCTACTTTTATCCCTGTGAGGTATCTAGTAACTGCTGCTTTTTGTAATTCTTACATGTTTTGGGAGTCTGTGAAAATATGTTTTCTAATTTTTCTAGATATGGAGATAGTGCACTTTTGTTATGATCTGTGTAGCATTTGCACAACTTCCAGGAGAAGGAAAGTGAGACAGTGTCTCACATGGCCACACTCTCACTGGAAGTCCCTCTCAACTTCTCCACATCATCACTTTTTCCTCACTTCTCTTTCCTGGTTGACACTTTAAACCTTGGAATGCCTCAAGCTGCTTATCTCTCTTACTCACCCATAACTCCATTAAAGTTTTTATACAGAAGCTTCTTGTTATAGTCTAGACCTCTTCATTTTCTAAACACATAATGATTGGTATATCATGCTCATAATTAAAATACCTAAAATATTTTGCCTCCTCTAAGAACTCTTCCTTGATATGTCCTCATGGCAGAATTCATCTCTAACCTTATTTCCATAATGTATTGTTCAGTTGTAGAATACTTATCTTGTTGTTTTCTGAATTTATTTATCTGTCATTAGAAAGCAAATGAATATCTCCTGTGCCAATCCATTAAACATTAAATATGGACTTTTCAAATTCTGGATTTTTAGGATTTATAGTTTTTCCATGACAATCAGAACTTATCTTCATTCAGCCTAATTTGATTTTTCTTTGTATCCATTTGAAATGGATATATATATAT